ATATCAGTGGCACGCTCTAACTCTTAATTCGGCAAGATGGCCCTAACATAAGTCTATGACACTCTAGGTGCCCCTCTAGTGTTAGTTTTGCACACTCAGAGATGACGTGTCAACTTCATTTGTTACATGCATTGTATCATTTCACAATAAACTTCCATTTTCCCAGGAAATGTACAGTTTCCGCTCATAAAGTGCACACAGTCTCTTTTCAAAATTAACTTAAAGGGTAGGTACAAAACATAAGCAACAAACATATGTGGTTAGGTTTCGAAACAAAACATCATGGTTTCGCTATGTTTTTATTCGTTATGTCACATGACATACGTCCCTAGTGTAGTACACTTTACATACTAGCAACCTACTTGTAATTAAAATACCTCAATTGATGAGTGGTTTCACACAGGACACCAACAGCGGACTTCTTGTGAAAGACCCACCCACCTTGTGCAGACTTTCTTGCTCTTTATACTACAGCAGTAGTATCCAGTTTTTAGGGCCACTGACCCAGCGTCTATATCTGATGAGTGGGTGTGAGACCAGGTTGGTTATGTTTCCTATCATGTGTATTAGGGTATTAGGAGGGAGCTTGGAGCAGAGCCGCTGCTCCTTCGCATTGAAAGGGGTCAGTTGAGGTGGTTCGGGCATCTGATCAGGATGCCTCCTGGATACCTCCTGTTAGAGGTGTTCTGGGCACGTCCCACTGGTAGGAGGCCCCGGGCAGACCCAGAACATGCCGGAGGAATTACATATCTTGTCTGGCCTGGGAACGCCTTGGGGTCCCCCAGGAGGAGATGGAAAGCGTTGCTGGGGAGAAGGGTGTCTGGAATACTTTACTCAGCCTGCTGCTGCTACTGCAGCCAGGCTCCAGATAAGCAGTTGGAAATGGATGAATGGATGGATGTGTATTACTGTGTTCTGTCAGATCTTGTAATGATAAATCACCTCTACTGCACTTTAAAGGTCTAGTGTGAAGGATTTAGTGGCATCTAGCAGTGAGATTGCAGAACTGAAATGTGCCAAGCGTGTAGGAAAACTGTGGTGGCCAACGCGAAAACACGAATAGCTGTATGTAGAGCCAATGTTTGGATTGTCTGATGTGGGTTACTGTAGAACAACATGGCATTGAGCGGAAAGATGACGGAGAGGAAGGACGTGCATGAGTGAGCTCTGCACTAGGACCTGTTGTTCTTAATAATACTGGACTTTAATGACATCAGAATGTGTTTTTGAAAAGGAAGTCTGATACATGAATCAAAACATTCAAAACTGGACCTAACATTAAATCTTGAAAGGCCTCAAGAGTTTGTTTTTGAAACGCTGACGCTGGTGGTAGTGTCCTGTCGCATGTGAAACAATGGCATGCAAAAACGTAATGGACACAATACTCCATGTGATTGAAGACAGCAAAAAAGAAGTCCTTTCAAATATCCAAGGAACAGACAAGGAAGTTAATCAACTTCACACCTCTATGAATATATATAAAGCCGAAGATGACGTGGCAGATGCGTAAAATGCATAAACATATTGGGGAAAAACATGTCTTCAATATAAGCAAAGGTGGACTCCTTGGAAATTAAATCTGCTGATTGTTGGAGTTCTGGAGGGATCCGAAGCAGTCAGTATGATGGCTTTCCTGTGACATCTGATTCCTAATCTACTCAGGAAGGAGAACTTTCCTGAGCCACTTTGCTTTGAGAGGAGCCATTGTATCACTGTGTGTAATAGGTGGACTGACTCAGCAAAGCAACCATGACCCATTGTAATGAAATTCCTGAATCACCAGGATAAAATGAAGGTGCTTCTGCTGGCACATGAGAAAAGAGAGCTCCACTTTAACGGTAGAAGTCTTCACCTTTTCCCTGACCTCAGAGAGGCAGTTCAGTCCAAACACAAGGCTTTGCTGTTGGTGAAAAAGAAACTTCAGAACAACATGGCAGGCTCTGTGGGAGAAGACCTGCTCGGAATGTAGATATAAACTGCTCATATCCTCCTGAATCCTACGTACTTGACCTTTAAGTGATATACCGCATATCATCCATTGTATGCTACCGACATGCACTCATCGTCCACTTTATTGGGTACACCTGTTCAACTGCGCGTTAACACAAATAGCTAATCAGCCAATCACATGGCAGCAACTCAATACATTTTGGCATGTAGACATGGTCAAGACGACCTGCTAAAGTTCACACTGAGCATCAGAATGGGGAAGAAAGGTGATTTAAGTGACTTTGAACGTGGCATGGTTGTTGGTGCCAGACAGGCTGGTCTGTCAGAAACTGCTGATCTACTGGGATGTTCACACACAACCATCTCTAGGGTTTACAGAGGATGGTCCGACAAAGAGAAAATATCCAGTGAGCAGCAGTTCTCTGGGTGAAAATGCCTTGTTGATGCCAGAGGTCAGAGGAGAATGGCCAGACTGGTTCAAGATGATAGAAAGGCAACAGTAACTCAAATAACCACTGGTTACAACCAAGGTCTGCAGAAGACCATCTCTGAACCAACAACACGTCCAACCTTGAAGCAGATGGGCTACAGCAGCAGAAGACCACACCAGGTGCCACTCCTGTCAGCTAACAACAGGAAACTGAGGCTACAGTTCACACAGGCTCACCAAAACTGGACAATAGAAGATTGGAAAAACGTTGCCTGGTCTGATGAGTCTGGATTTCTGCTGCCACATTCAGATGGTAGGGTCAGAATTTGGTGTAAACAACATGAAAGCATGGATCCATCCTGCCTTGTATCAACGGTTCAGGCTGCTGGTGGTGGTGTAATGGTGTGGGGGATATTTTCTTGGCACACTTTGGGCCCCTTAGTACCAACTGAGCATGGTTTAAACACCACAGCCTACCTGAGTATTGTTGCTGACCGTGTCCATCCCTTTATGACCACAGTGTACCCATCTTCTGATGGCTACTTCCAGCAGGATAACGCACCATGTCACAAAGCTCAAATCATCTCAAACTGGTTTCTTGAACATGACAATGAGTTCACTGTACTCCAATGGCCTCCACAGTCACCAGATCTCAATCCAATAGAGCACCTTTGGGATGTGGTGGAACGGGAGATTCACATCATGGATGTGCAGCCGACAAATCTGCAGCAACTGTGTGATGCTATCATGTCAATATGGACCAAAATCTCTGAGGAATGTTTCCAGCACCTTGTTGAATCTATGCCACAAAGACTTAAGGCAGTTCTGAAGGCAAAAGGGGTCCAACCTGGTACTAGTAAGGTGTACCTAATAAAGAGGCTGGTGGGTGTATAGTCAGATGTTTAGGAACTAGAAATTTGAGCACAGGTCAAATGAATGTGACATCAGATGATATTATAGGCCTGCATAATAACATAGTGTGACTGCATGTGATTATGGTATAAAGAGAAAGTGCTCTGTTAGCATGTGATTATGGGTATTTTCTGGTCTTTATGGATTCCATATCTTGGATGTAGAAAATAGCTCCAGCAGCCTGGTACATTCAGACACATTTTATGTAAGGCACCTTGCGATGAACTTGACTTGACCCAATAATCTTCACATTTTACAACATAAACCGCGAGGAATACATTTGGAAACATTTAGTTTGTACTTGTTCCTGCCCAGCTTCAACAGGTACCTGAGGGAGAGTGTGTGAGGAGCATGCAAGTTTAATGTTGCTGGTTTCTGCAGTAGAACAAAGCCCACAGTGTTGGGTTTCATCTCTTTTTCTATATGGAGCAAGTGGAGCATGAGCAGACGGAGGGAAAGGTAAGAAAACACTTTGTGCCCAACTGGATCAGATTTGTCAGTAAAGCGCGCAGGTATCACGCCAGGTCACCCAGCAGGCTGTGAAATGACTTGTTGATCCCGGGGAAGGCGCGTGTATGTGTGTGAGGCAGGGAGAGAGAGGCAGAGAAACCTTTTCATGTCAGACCACACAGAAAGGGCCCTGCAGCTGCACCCCATGCCAAAGCCGCAGAGAGCGAAGAAAGAAAAGAGAGCAGAGGCAGAAAAACAAGAAGAGATAGACATTTAAAGCATCAGTGGTGTCTGACAAACAAGGAATTATCAGAAAAAGAGAATGCGGGGACCCCAGGAGCCACACACTGCTGCCCAGATTTCTGCCGGACATAAAGATTGACTGAATGTTCTGCTCTAACGATGGCAAATTAGATCAGGGGAAGGAGAAGTTGAGTGCAGAATGAATGAAGGAAGGACTGAGTGCTGTCCCTTGCATGAAGCCAAATTAGCATGCACAGTAGATCTCTTTTATGGCGTTGGCGCTGTCCGTGGTGCTGAAAAGATGTGGTTACACAACGGATAATGTTCTACTTGGACGGCTGGGAAGGAAGTGGGAATAAATCTGAGAGGAAAATTGAGATTTCAGCAAGCTATTAGCTTTGTGTTGGCCAACCTGGCAGGGACACTGTGGTCAGAGCTGCAGAGGTGCTTAAAAGTGGCCTATTACGGCACAAAACAAATGGACACCATTTATTACACCATCCACTTTTTGGGGAAAATCAATCTTTCTGAACCTTACAGCAGTTTAATACTGCTTATGCTTTAAATGTGTGTGTTTTAGAAAGTATTCTGCCCAGGGCACAAGAAGGATTTTGAGATTTAAGTGAGTTTATCCTCCACTAAAAATGCATAAATACAAGAGTCCAACAGGAGCGAGCTAATTTCTGAATTGGGTTGTCTATCTTATGATAAGATTCATAAAATAATTACTGGGAAACATCGTTGGCTGCTTGTAGTTTCAATTCTGAATGAAAACACTCAGAGCAAATTCTCTCTGGGACCCGAAGAAGCGGAAGGAAATGTTACCCGACGAATTTTCATTAAAATTCAACAAGAGGCAGGCTCCGTGAGAGGTTAGATTATTGGCCGGCAGAGGCATGGACACACACACTCTCCGAGACACACACACACACACACACACACGCACGCACACACACTTCACAGCTGGTGTGCCTTCCTCCAGCAGAGACTGACAGAAGCGGGGCGACCGCTCTAAGCTGTGAGCGCTCATCTCTCCTCTCCTCCACCAGCGCGTCTTTTACTGTTGACACAAAAACTTTGAAGAGGTGAGAGCCGAGACGTCAAAACGCCGACAAATCACCGTCGACAGCGCGCATCAACAAAGAGAAAAGGGGGGTGAAAAGAAAAGAAAACCATCAAGTCCGAGGAAAGCGGTGGAGCCGGGAGAAAGAGGGAGCTATGCCATCTCCCGCCGAGCAGAGCCCAGTCCTCCTGTGTTGTGTGTCGGAGCTGCAGCATGGTGTCTCTCTCTGGACTCTGGACCTACTGCCTCGCCCCCGGGAGACCCCATCTCCTCTTCCTCTCCGCCCGACCGCTCCTGCTGCTGCTCTTACTAACCGTCCTCACCTCCCCGGAGCCGTGCTTCCCACACCCGCAGCCTTGCCACATCCTCGCCCGGATCGGACACACCGTGCGCCTCGGCGCGCTCTTGCCGACCCGCCAGCCGGCACGGATACAAAACGCGCTCAACCGCGCCCTGGCTAGCCTCCGGCACCAGAGCGGTGGGGCTGACTCCTCCACCACAGCCTCCCAAACACCTTCCCTGCTGCCCTACAACCTGAGCCTGGAGATGGTGGCTCGATCGCCCGCGGGAGGGGACCCGGAGTCGTTGTCCCGTAGCGCCTGCCAGGACCTGGTGGTCAGGGGGGTGTCCGCCGTGCTCGCCTTCCCCCGCTCCAGGGAGGAGCTGATCCAGGTGGAGTTCCTCTCGTCTTTCCTGGAGATCCCCTTCATCTCCATCCTGGAGGACACAGAGCCTCTTGTGACAAAGGTATGGGTGGATAATGTGTGTGTGCACCTGTAGAAAAAGCCTATGTCGCTTGATATCATTGTTTTATGCGTTCTGCAGCTTGCTCTTCAATAACCAGCAACCTGTGGCCAAACATATTTTCATTTGGACCTTTATCAGAGAGTTGACACTCACAGATTGCCCCTGGCAGGGATTTTGGTGTCTGAGCTCATGCAAAACTCATCTCACCAGCCAGATTTTTAACTCTGGCTAAAGGCAAAGCAGCACTATAAGGAAAGGTAATTGTACCAGAGATAATAGGAGCAATTATTCTTAAGAAAGCTCAACGTAATACAATTAGGAACGGTAATAGTAAGCAAATATAATATGGATAATTGGAAAAGTCGATTTAAGGAGCGTTTAGTGTCTCCGGCTCTTAAGTTGCCCGACTAAATGTCTTCCCCCAGCAAAGTCTGATGCTCAGATTGATCTCCGCTGAGCTTTTGCTGGTGCACCTGCAGGCCCTTCACATGCATGTTTAATATCTGGTAGCTCTGCCTCAGTATTGGACTGAACCCTCCAGCTCTCCAGCAGCAGAGCTTTAAAGTGCTTTTTTTCCTCCTCCTCTCTTTAAGCTATCTTCTTGTGTGTGTGTGTGTGTGTGTGTGTGTGTGTGTGTTTGTGTGTGTGTTAACAGACTGTGAGAGTAAATGTGTGTGTGTGCATGTATGATTGAAGACGGCTGTGTTTTGGCACCTTTCAGAGCGAATCATTCAAACAGTTGAGATACTGATAGATGGGCTGCTGTGGAGAGGTGTGGCGCCTGCTGTTGTGCTATTTGAGCGTGTGGTCACATATGTGTTGTTTACGTGTTGCGAAATGTGCGTGTGCAAATTTGCAGGTAGGCAGTGTGTGTGTGTGTGTGTGTGTGTGTGTGTGTCATGTTAGTATTCCCAGCAGCAGTCGAGCTGCTTGCCAGTCAGTCAATCCAGCTCCAGTCATATCCGCCTCTATCCAACTGAGAAGCCAACTGCATCCCTCTGTCACACACACACACACACACACACACACACACAGGCACAAAAAGAGGACTTAAACTTTCACACAGGTTCAACTGACACACACACACGCGCAGGCTCAACTAAGAGGCGGCATTAGGGAGACAGAGAGGAGCGAGCGAGGGAGGAGTGCAGGGGGAAAGATCTATAGTTTAAGTCTGAAATCTTTGTCCTGTCGCGTCTCTTTGTCAACAATGGATTGCTTATTCGATTTCAATAAAGCTTGCATGAATGAGAAGTCACACCACTTGACGAATGTGTCGGCAGTGCAAGGAGATAAGCAGGGGAGAGCAGAGGGAGAGACGAGGGGAGAAAGAGAGGGAAGGGGGTGGGCCGGGAAGGAGGAGAGGGCTCTTTTTTTGAGCTGTGGGAGGCCTTTCAGTTCCCCAGAACTGTGCCAAGCACTCAGTGGGCAAAAGAGAGACAACCATCACTCTCAGTCTCTCTGTGTCTCTCTGCTTCAGTATTTTTAGCAATAATTCCAAGCAGCGTTTTCACATAAATGGTTGCCTGTTATTTCCTTTTATTATAGCTGTGCTGTTGATGCTACAGAAAAGTGCTTCGGCCTTATATTAAATTCATGATTTTCTTCCCCCCCCTCAGTGTCGGGCGATGTTGGTTCATAGGAGGTGACGTGTTCTAGGTGTCTGGCAGCAGCAACATCTGTTTGTTTGTAAGCCGTAGAGGAAAAACAGGGCAGCTGCAATGAGGAGTAGCAGGCAAATGAAAGACCGGGGACGGAAACTGGGAATTAAAAACGGTTAAAGATGTCACAGTATTGAGTACGGTGACCAAGATGGAATGAAGTGCAGAGGAATCAGTCATGCAGAGCCAGAAATATAATATTTTAAGATGAATAAATAAACAGTAGGTGCGGGAGGTAGAGCAGGTTTCCCACTGATCCCCGGCTCCTCCTGTCCACATGTTAAAGCATCCTCACACAAGATACTGAACCCCAAATTGCTCCTGATGATTGCAAGGTAGCCTGCTGCCATCAGTGTGTGAGTGTGTGTGAATGGGTGAGTGAAAGGCAACAACTGTGAGTCCATTTACCAGGGATACGGCAATCGCAAAGACTTGCTCAGGGCTAGATATCGGTGCTCGATACCTTTAAGGTTTCCACCAAAATAACCCGCTAAGTAATATCGAAACGTCCCCAGTTAAACGATACCTGCATCTGATCCTTTTTGTACCCAGATCCAGAGAGAAATTAATTTGTATGGTTTTGCTCGAAGCCAATCACCGCCAACGTTCTTCCATTAAATGGGCAAATTTCCGGCCTACCTCTGCACCCTCCTGTGTCCGCTTCGGTTACCAGCTGCGCCCCTTCAAGTGGTTGCTTTTTAATATACCCTGGGTTTTATCAGATCTGGGGAAAACTGCATTCTCCTACTCTGCACCTTGGACATGGAACAATCTTGAAAAAGGATCTAAATTTAAGGGCATCATAAAGAATGTGGTGACAGAGACGTGCTTGTTTTTCTTGAGAGGCCACTGTGTTTGACTAGTCGTCGTTTTATTGTGGATCTTTGTATTATATGTTGCATTTGTTGCATTTTAAATATGTTTTGATTGGCTGCAACCTCGGCCAGGTCTTTTGTAAAAAAGATTTCCAATCTCAGTGGGACTTCCTGGTTAAATAAATAGATAAATAAAAACGCAGTGTGTGATTGGCCCACTACCGCAGCAGCTGCAGCCTAGTCTGGGGCCGTTTAGTGGTTGTTTTGGTAAGGAACCGGAACCAGGGCGAGAGAGACAGGATCCAGAATTCAATGGATGCGTCTTTCCGTCAAAATAAAAGCACCAAGCTAATAAAAATGCGGTGAAACTTTTTAATTTAAAGAATATAATTTACAAGAAAGGCCCAAGCCACTGAGTTAATCGATTTTCTTACACCCCTCATCACCCCAAATTGATGGTGCGCCAGAATTTAAGGTTTTACTTTGGTCAACACTTTAACTTTGGTGAATTTGGTGAATTCAGTATCCACTCTCTAGACCAGAACCAGAATCCAGACAAAATTCAGAGTGAATGGAAACCAGGCTCTTACCTTATGTGAAGAGCCTGGTGACGCAAGGCTAGCTACAACCATACAGTCTGTAGTGTGGTGAAGTCAGGTGCAGTGTATGTGAAGGAGTTAGTACAATTTTTTGATAAATATTTTAAATTATTTATCAAAAAATTATGCTGTCAAAATGTGTGAAATTTATTTGGATGGGTAGGAGTGATTGTGGCATTTTATGCAGCTGAATACTTGGATTTGCATGATGGGTATCGAATGAAGTACTTTGCTTGTAAAGGTGTTACTTTAAGGAACGGGGTAGGTTTCATTTTTTGGGGCGGCACATGAAATGGAGATTTGGGGTCCTCTACCAGAAAATTTTGAGCATCAAACTCATTTTTAAAATGTTTTATACACCAGTTTGAGCCTTTCCTGGATCAATTTATGGTGTAAATGTCTAATTTTGTTGAAGAAAAAGTCCTCTGCTACTTCATGTTTTTATATTGGAGGGCAAATGAACATGTTCACCTGTGTTCACACTGAAATCTGTGCCTATGACTTCAAGGCCACTGGTGCTACTGGTATCATAATATTTTTAACAACACCCAGCTCTACTTTTTCATAGTATTAAATATTAAGAATGCACCTGTTTTGTTGCTGTAACAGTGTTTGTTGTTGCTTGGGTAAACAGTGTAGTGTTGAAACAGTTGCCTGATTGATTAATCGATAGAAAATAAATCAAAGAGAAAATGGCAATTGTATTTTATCAAACAAAAATGGAAAACTTTGTCTGATTCCATCGTCTCATATTTAAGAAATTGCAGCTTTTCTCCATTTTATATAATTGATGTTCTTCTATTTTCAAGCAATTTAGAGGCATCTTCTTGTGAGGAATGTTTTTCACTTGTTTCTGACATTTTAGTCCATCAACAACTCAATCAATCAAAAACTCAAATTATCACCCATTTGCTTTGTCAGAGGCAACAGAAATTGTTGGTTGCAGCCCTTAAACTGTGAGATTTTTAGCACATGGCCAGTCTTTTCTTTTTAATATCCAAACTGACTTTATTCTTTTGTAGAGTTCTCAGTTACGAAACAGAAATTGTACCCATACACTCAGAACACTTCCCTGGGTGCTCTCAGAGTCATCTAGAACATCTTTCACAATTCACTGTCTATAGAGCAGCTCCTGACTTTATACTCTATTACATCACAGATTTGAGTTTAGCACTCTAGCTTTTGGATTTGGGAGACAAGTGTTGAGGTTAACCAATATTTCTGGACTGTCTCGGACCACAGAAATAAATGTATGGATATTTATTTGCAATTTTTCTCCAATTATATCACCAATATTCTTTTGATTTTTAAGCAATTTGAAGGCATCTTCTTGTGATGATTTTACTCAGTTAACAATTTAGTCAGTCAAAAAATAAAAATCCAATTATCTCCCAACTGCTTTGTTGAAAGTGACAAAAATCATTAGTTGCAGCCTTAAAAGCTGGAGTTTGTAACTTTATAAAAAATAACTGCTGAAACTGTCTTTATATTCACACAGAGCTGAATGAGACAGATAACCTGTGAAAAAAAAAATCATATTCCTCTGCTTACTCTACTGCCTTGTAGCACCTTCAACAGAGTTAATGCATGTGAAGGAAAACAACCAATCAGAGGCGAGGAGTCTCTAATACAGCTATCAATCATGTCAATCACTGCTTGTGAACAGTGGTCAAACTGTCAAACTAGGCAGCGCTGATCAAATATAAATCAAGATTCATTTACTGCAACTGTGTCTCACTCCAGAATCCTCAAAAGCTGGTGCTTGGGCAGGGACTTGCAGCATCAGACACAGACAAAAAAAGCTGTCCTTTAAAGGGATAGTGCACCCAAAAATGAAAATTCAGCCATTATCTACTCACCCTCATGCCGAGGGAGGCTCAGGTGAAGTTTTAGAGTCCTCACATCACTTGCGGAGATCCAAGGCG